CTAGCTTCTGCACTAATCTCTTGTGAGGAACTGTGTAAAAAAGCCTTCTTGCAGTCCAAGAAGATGCAATCAACCCACCCCTCTCTCTCTTGTCTTCTGTTATTTTATCATAAAACTCCAGAAGGTTTGTGACACAGGATTTGCCTTCCGTGAAACCGTGCTGGTTGGTGTGTGTGTGTGTGTGGTGTGTGTGTGTGTGTGTGTGTGTGTGTGTGTGTGTGTGTGTGTGTGTGTGTGTGTGTGTGTGTGTGTGTGTGTGTGTACAATTGCCTCCCAGCATACATAAGGGGGATTACTAATAGACCCCTTGGTGTCTTTAAGAAGACGCTGGACAAGCACCTGAAGTCAGTTCTTGACCAGCTGCGCTGTGCTTCGTACGTTGGTTCACGTGTGACAAGCATTAACAGCCTGGTTGATCAGGCCCTGATCCACCATGAGACCTGGTCACAGACCGAGCCGCGGGGGCGTTAATCCCCGGCGCACCCTCCAGGTATACTCCAGACATCCACTTCTTACTCTTCCATTGTAACAGAAATTAACGATATCAATATTACAATGACATAAGAAAACCAGGCAGAACTCTAAACTTGAATTATCAGTTAACTACTTCGTACAACTGGACTTCCCGTTATTTTGTACTGTATATATTACAATCTCCTGACGAATCCTACAGTGAGAGCACACTTGTGTACAATGCTGTTTTGTAATTATTTAATTATTTATTTATTTATTCCCCTCAAGGAAGGTTCCTTGATGTTGGTGAGGGGCTCTTAATTTAGGGAATTGGATCTGTGCTCCAGTTCCCCGAATTAAGCCTGAATGCCTTCCACATTTCCCCCCCCCCCCCAGGCGCTGTATAATCCTCTGGGTTTAGCGCTTCCCCTTTGATAATAATAAGAATAATAATAATAATAATAATAATAATAATAATAATAATAATAATATTTATTAATTTGAACATGATACAGAGAAGTACAAGGAATACAATTTTTTAAGTACAACATGCCAAAGCCCCTTGTATGTAGAGCATTATGGGCAGGCTTTAAATTAACTTAAGATTAACTAAGCAATGATATATTCAGTGGTACAAAAATTATTGTAAAACAGATAATTTAGTACAAATGAGTATTACAAAGACAGGTCATACTCCACTACACCGCAGTCTGTGTGCTTAAACAGGATGTGTATTATTAACTGGGCGATTCGATAAAGCTATCCCTATCCGAGATGGGTATCCCTATTCGAGATAGGTATCCCTATCCGAGAAACATATCCCAATTCCAGAAAGATATCCCTATCTGAGAAAGATATCCCTATTCCAGAAAGATATCCCTGAGAAAGGTATACCTATCCGCGAATGGTAACCCTATGACTCGACTCGAGTAACCCTTGTGGGGTGAGCTGGGGAGTGGTGATAGGGGAATAATAGGTTGTATCCCAATGCAAGCAAAAGGAATAGGGTAGAGTGGTACATACATTTCTTACGCAGTTAAACCTTTACAATAAAGATTTAAAGTGAATCAGAAGAGGCCTTCACAAGTCGTGCTAGGGAAACTGATATCCAATTTTCTTCAATAAAACTCCCCTCAAGGAAGGCTCCTTGATGTTGGTGAGGGGCTCTTGATTTAGGGAATTGGATCTGTGCTCCAGTTCCCCAAATTAAGCCTGAATGCCTTCCACATCTCCCCTTCCCCCAGGCGCTGTATAATCCTCCGGGTTTAGCGCTTCCCCTTTGATTATAATAATAATTCAATAAAACTGAGAAATTAGGATGCACACAGTTCAGGTCTAATTGAAAGCTTCCACTAAGACACCTCGCTGACAGTTCTACCCTTGATGCATCTTATCTCTGACGTTTTATCTGAAACTAACCTATTGCAACATCTGATGTAACTTTTGTTCTCGTGCTCTACGCTACATTTATTGCTCCTTTCCCTTAAACACTTCTGCCCCCTTACTAAGTTTTATCTTCACAAGTCTTCTTCTGTCACATCCCTGCCTGTAGCGCTGTCACCCTTTTGGTTTTAGTGCTTACCTGGAGTTTACCTGGAGAGAGTTCCGGGGGTCAACGCCCCCGCGGCCCGGTCTGTGACCAGGCCTCCTGGTGGATCAGAGCCTGATCAACCAGGCTGTTAATGCTGGCTGCACGCAAACCAACGTACGAGCCACAGCCTGGCTGGTCAGGAACCGACTTTAGGTGCTTGTCCAGTGCCAGCTTGAAGACTGCCAGGGGTCTGTTGGTAATCCCCCTTATGTATGCTGGGAGGCAGTTGAACAGTCTCGGGCCCCTGACACTTATTGTATGGTCTCTTAACGTGCTAGTGACACCCCTGCTTTTCATTGGGGGGATGTTGCATCGTCTGCCAAGTCTTTTGCTTTCGTTGTGAGTGATTTTCGTGTGCAAGTTCGGTACTAGTCCCTCTAGGATTTTCCGGGTGTATATAATCATGTATCTCTCCTCCCTGCATTCCAGGGAATACAGGTTTAGAAACCTCAAGCGCTCCCAGTAATTGAGGTGCTTTATCTCCGTTATGCGCGCCGTGAAGGTTCTCTGTACATTTTCTAGGTCAGAAATTCAACCTGGCTTGAAAGGTGCTGTTAGTGTGCAGCAATATTCCAGCCTAGATAGAACAAGTGACCTGAAGAGTGTCATCATGGGCTTGGCATCCCTAGTTTTGAAGGTTCTCATTATCCATCCTGTCATTTTTCTAGCAGCTGCGATTGATACAAGGTTATGGTCCTTGAAGGTGAGATCCTCCGACATGATCACCCCCAGGTCTTTGACGTTGGTGTTTCGCTCTATTTTGTGGCCAGAATTTGTTTTGTACTCTGATGAAGATTTAATTTCCTCGTGTTTACCATATCTGAGTAATTGAAATTTCTCATCGTTGAACTTCATATTGTTTTCTGCAGCCATTGAAAGATTTGGTTGATGTCCGCCTGGAGCCTGCAGTGTCTGCAATGGAAGACACTGTCATGTAGATTCGGGTGTCATCTGCAAAGGAAGACACGGTGCTGTGGCTGACATCCTTGTCTATGTGAGATATGAGGATGAGGAACAAGATGGGAGCGAGTACTGTGCCTTGTGGAACAGAGCTTTTCACCGTAGCCGCCTCGGACTTTACTCTGTTGACTACTACTCTTTGTGTTCTGTTTGTGAGGAAATTATAGATCCATCGACCAACTTTTCCTGTTATTCCTTTAGCACGCATTTTGTGCGCTATTACGCCATGGTCACACTTGTCGAAGGTTTTTGCAAAGTCTGTATATATTACATCTGCATTCTTTTTGTCTTCTAGTGCTTCTAGGACCTTGTCGTAGTGATCCAATAGTTGAGACAGACAGGAGCGACCTGTTCTAAACCCATGTTGCCCTGGGTTGTGTAACTGATGGGTTTCTAGATGGGTGGTGATCTTGCTTCTTAGGACCCTTTCAAAGATTTTTATGATATGGGATGTTAGTGCTATCGGTCTGTAGTTCTTTGCCATTGCTTTACTGCCCCCTTTGTGGAGTGGGGCTATGTCTGTTGTTTATAGTAACTGTGGGACGACCCCTGTGTCCATGCTCCTTCTCCATAGGATGGTAAAAGCTCGTGATAGGGGCTTTTTGCAGTTCTTGATGAACACGGAGTTCCATGGGTCTGGCCCTGGGGCAGAGTGCATGGGCATGTCATTTATCGCCTGTTCGAAGTCATTTGGCGTCAGGATAACATCGGACAGGCTTGTGTTAACCAAATTCTGTGGCTCTCTCATAAAAAATTCATTTTGATCTTCGACTCTCAGTCTGGTTAGCGGCTTGCTAACCAGATTATATTGAGTATATTGTTATTCTCTCGCTAGGAAATACCAGCTTTGATGTTAATCCGAAGAGGCATTCTCTTGTTATCCTAGCTGCTGCAGCTATGATGTCAACCTTTGCTTTGTCTTCAAATTCCTGCCACGGTCTCCTGCTGTCAGGTGGCGGGTTGTATATCACCCCATCTACTACTTTGAGTTACAAGGTATTAAATGATCCCAGTATGAAGCCGTGTACCTCTTCCTTTTTATTCCTCTCACCTCTTTTAAGATGCCACTGATTTATATGTATGTACCCTAATTGTGGTTGCAAGGGTCGATTCTTCATTTGTCGCTAGTAGATCACTCTCTCCTTGCTCCATGAGCGTCATCGTACCTTCTTAGAGCTATGTATGGATCTCAGCCAGTCTCCTTGTGATTGAAATCATCTACAGGTAACTTTGCCCTGCCCACATTGGCCCTTCTGGTCACTTCGTCAAGTGCATCAACCATTGCTCTGTTGCTCTCATCATATTTTTGTCTTAGTGCCCTGCTATTCTAAGGTTGGTTGTAAATTACTACAATCACCACCTTGAGATCTCCAGTCTGAAGTGTTCCTATGTAGTCTCTTGCTTCCCTTCTGTCCCCTCCTTTCAACTCCTCAAAACTCCACTGGTTTTTGATGAGTAGTGCAACTCCTCCACCCCCTCTATTCCCTTCACATTTCCTCAGGATCTGATATGCAGCTGGAAAGACTGCATCTGTTACCATTCCACGATCTTGGTTTCCATGAGTGCTGTGATGTCTGGGGATGCCTCCATAACTCTTTTGTGTCACTCCTCACACTTATTCACTATTCCGTCTGGGTTGGTGCACCATACCTTCGGTTTCTTATGCAAAACTATATTCTGGGGAAGGTTTGTGGGGGCTGGGGGAGTGGGGGGCCTGGCAGGGGGCCTGGCAGGGGGCTATGTGAGTGGGGGGCCTGGCAGGGGGCTATGGGAGGCTGCTGTATTGTTAGTGTGTGTACTCACCTAGTTGAGGTTGCAGGGGTCGAGTCCAAGCTCCTGGCCCTGCATCTTCACTGATCGCTACTAGGTGTGTGTGTGTGTGTGTGTGTGTGTGTGTGTGTGTGTGTGTGTGTGTGTGTGTGTGTGTGTGTGTGTGTGTGTGTGTGTGTGTGTGAGTGTTTGTTATCATGGTGCCACCGTGCAAGAGTCTGGTGCAGATACAGTCGTCAGTCAATGCAGCCCACACAGTGGTAGGAGTTAAGCAGCTAGTACCTCCCTCACTCTCTGCTGATCTCCCGTCCAGTTAACCTGCTCAAGGTTGAACCATCACTCAGGCTTCCTCAGTCCAGACCTGTCCTCACTGTGGTATACACCAGTACATGCTCTCTTACTGCGGACATTCTCCACATATAATCCTCAGCAAACTCAATTATTCGCTGACAGTTACACGTGGTAGTGAAGCTACTCTCTGGCTGCTGTTATTATTACATTATTGACCTGTTAGTACACCAGACTTCCAGCTTGTGATCACAATGAAAGCACAGCTGCAAAATGGTGCCATGGGATACCCAGAGGTTCGCCTGGGTACTGTTACAGGTGACCAGGGAAGGCAGGTGATCACTATTAAAAGGGGCCAGAGCAAGCAGGTGGACACCCCGACAGGTGGCCAGAACAAGCAGGTGGACACCAGGACAGGTGGCCAGGACTACCAGGAGAATAGCAGGGAGAAGTCAGAGAAGGCAGAAAGTGAATCATTTAAGAGAGTCGTTGTTGTGAGTGTGGTAGTTGTGGTTCACTTGGCTGTCATCCTGCCGCTAGCACTATACTACATACCTACTGGACGAACCGGTGTCCTCTGCTACTACTACAACAGGTACTACTAATACTACTACTATTACTACTACTATTATCACTTTATCCCTTCAACTCACCCATCATGGCAGGTGGCTTCATGTTAACCAGGCACTAGATCTCAGACATTACATACCCCGACCTTCATTTTAAATTACACCTGATTACCTCCCATTGCCTTTGCGCCTCCATGTTAAAAATACTGAAGAATGTTAAAGAACCATTACAGTGACTTGATGTATGACACACACAGCACCAGGGTGACACTAAGATGACAGGTGTCACATGTTAGACACACACAGCACCAGGGTGACACTAAGATGACAGGTGTCACATGTTAAACACACACAGCACCAGGGTAACACTAAGATGACAGGTGTCACATGTTAGACACACACAGTACCAGAGTAACACTAAGATGACAGGTGTCACATGTTAAACTCACACAGCACCAGAGTAACACTAAGATGACAGGTGTCACATGTTAAACACACACAGCACCAGAGTAACACTAAGATGACAGGTGTCACATGTTAGACACACACAGTACCAGGGTGACACTAAGATGACAGGTGTCACATGTTAGAGACACACAGCACCAGAGTAACACTAAGATGACAGGTGTCACATGTTAAACACACACAGTACCAGGGTGACACTAAGATGACAGGTGTCACATGTTAGACACACACAGCACCAGAGTAACACTAAGATGACAGGTGTCACATGTTAAACACACACAGTACCAGGGTGGACACTAAGTAGACAGGTGTCACATGTTAGACACACACAGCACCAGAGTAACACTAAGATGACAGGTGTCACATGTTAAACACACACAGTACCAGGGTGACACTAAGATGACAGGTGTCACATGTTAGACACACACAGCACCAGAGTAACACTAAGATGACAGGTGTCACATGTTAAACACACACAGCACCAGAGTAACACTAAGATGACAGGTGTCACATGTTAAACACACACAGTACCAGGGTGACACTAAGATGACAGGTGTCACATGTTAAACACACACAGTACCAGGGTGACACTAAGATGACAGGTGTCACATGTTAGACACACACAGTACCAGGGTGACGCTAAGACGACAGGTGTCACATGTTAAACACACACAGTACCAGGGTGACACTAAGATGACAGGTGTCACATGTTAGACACACACAGTACCAGGGTGACACTAAGATGACAGGTGTCACATGTTAGACACACACAGTACCAGGGTGACGCTAAGATGACAGGTGTCACATTATTTATTTATTTATTTATTTATTTAGTAATTTAAGCATACAAACAGAGGTACAAAAAATACAGGCAAGAGCAGCATGCCAAAGCCACTTATACTATGCATAGCATTACGGGCTGGCTTAAAATTAACTTAAGATTAACTAAGCAATGATGAAATCAGTGATAAGACATTATTGTAAACAGATAACTATAAAGCACAAATGAGTATTACAAAGACAGGTCATATGGTTGCTTGCATTGTTGTACATTCAGTAGAATGGAGTATTCTGTTAGATTGGGTTTTAGGTTTAACATTTATGTGATATAATTGTGAGAAACATTTAAGATATACAATTTATAAGGTTCAGTTATTCAGTATTTATTTGGTTTTGGGTGAGTAAGTGATCTTTGAGAAGAGACTTGAATTTATAAACAGGTATGACACACATGCAACCATGGTGACACTAAGATGACAGGTGTCACATGACACATACTACCAGGGTGACACTAAGATTACAGGTGTCACGTGATGACACACATACTGCCAGCGTGACACTAAGATGACAGGTGTCATATGACACTACCATGTGACACTAAGATGACAGGTGTTACATGACACATATACAACCAAGGTGACACTAAGATGATAGGTGTCACATGACACACATATTGCCATTGTGACACTAAGATGACACGTGTCACATTATGACACACATACTACCAGGGTGACACTAAGATGACAGTTGTCACATGACACATACTACCATGGTGACACTAGGATGACACGTGTTACATGACACACATACTACCAGAGTGACACTAGGATAACAGGTGTCACATTAAACATGTACAACCATGGTGACACTAAGATGACAGGTGTCACATGACACACATGCAACCAGGGTGACACTAAGATGGCAGGTGTCACATGACACACATACTACCAGGGTGAGGCACTAAGATGATAGTTGTCACATGACACACATACTACCAGGGTGAGACACTAAGATGACAGGTGTCACATTATGGCACACATCCTACCATGGTGAGACTAAGATGTCAGGTGTCACATGAAGCACATACTACCAAGGTGACACTAAGATGACAGGTGTCACATGACACACATACCACCAGGGTAACACTAAGTAAGTAAGTTTATTCAGGTATACACAATACAGTTACATAGAATTATCATACATAGCAGCATATGTGTAGAGAACCTAGGATAACCCAAAAAAGTCAGACAGAGTGACTTATTTCCATTGGGGTCCTTTTACCTTATTATTATAATATAAAGGTTATAATATTTTCTTATTATTCTATAATGAAGATAACATCTTATTATCATACTAAAAAGACTATCTACTACACGAGGGTCATTAAGACTATCTACTACACCAAGGTCATTAAGACTATCTACTACACGAGGGTCATTAAGACTATCTACAATACGAGGGTCATTACTAGTAATAAGGTAAAATTTACACGTATGTTAGCTGAAAAATAGAAAATCATTCTCCTCCCTTTCTGTAGCTACATTCATCAGACACCTTTTGGCACTCTTCTTGAACTGGTTCACGCTATGACTGGCTTTGACATGTACAGGCAGTCTGTTCCATTCCTTTATTGCTGTACAATAAAAGGTGTTTGAAGCCTGGCCACTGACTGTGGCTACTACAAAGTTGTTATTATTATTATTATTATAATCAAGGGGGAAGCGCTAAACCCGGAGGATTATACAGCGCCTGGGGGGGGGGGATATGTGGAAGGCATTCAGGCTTAATTCGGGGAACTGGAGCACAGATCCAATTCCCTAAATCAAGAGCCCCTCACCAACATCAAGGAACCTTCCTTGAGGGGTCTACAAAGTTGTGTTCTCCCAGATATTTTACTGAGAAAACTGAAATGATGGGCTCCCCATTACACTGGACATTAAAATTATTTACCCTTCTCAGTTTATGTTTCGTGCCAAAGAGAATTTCTTCAGTTTTCCCTAGGTGTAATGATAGTTTGTTGTCTACTAACCATTTGCTGCAGGACTCCAGTTCCAGTGTTAAAACATTAGCAATATCTTGTGGGTCTTTACCTGTCACTAACAGAGCACTGTCATCTGCATACAGTAGAAGTTTGCACTTGACACTGATGTACATGTCACTAAGATAACATGTGTCACTTGACACACATACCACCAGGGTAACAATAAGATGACAGGTGTCACATGACACACATAACACCAGGGTAACAATAAGATGACAGGTGTCACATGACACCTGACACCGTGGCTTCATTACTCTCAATTAACCCTTGAGATTATTACAAACTTTTAGTAACCGGATTTATATTATAAAAACCTGACATTTATATAATATAAACCCGCAATAATATCAAGGTGACACATAATCCACATAAATGTGAATCTGGAAAAAATAAGGTATTAATTATACCACTTGTTTCCAAGTTAAGGTTCACTTAACGTGGGTAAAGAGGACATATTATTATTATTATTATAATCAAGGGGGAAGCGCTAAACCCGGAGGATTATACAGCGCCTGGGGGGGGGATGTGGAAGGCATTCAGGCTTAATTCGGGGAACTGGAGCACAGATCCAATTCCCTAAATCAAGAGCCCCTCACCAACATCAAGGAACCTTCCTTGAGGGGAAAGAGGACATAAGTGCAACTAATGTAGAATTTTATTGTGGTAAAGTTTCTATGAGAGCCATTTAATGCGCATTTACAGGTTAGAGGATAAACAATACACTTAAATATATCTCATTCTCAAGGTCCTTTGTGTCACTTGTTATTCTTACCATTCCTTGATTTATTCTCGCATCTCATTAATATTCATTAAGGTTCGACCTGGCATCAGTAGTTATTCCTTTTGCTAGGCACATTTAATATATATATATATATATATATATATATATATATATATATATATATATATATATATATATATATATATATATATATATATATATCTAATAATAATAATAATAATAATCTTTATTTACTACCAGTACATGTACAAGGTATACACACCATAGCTGACATCGATAACATACTACCATACAGAAAGCTGCTTGTTATGCTGAGTATTTCCTGCAAATTAGGCCAGTTTTGTCCCAGGATGCGACCCACACCAGTCCACTAACTCCCAGGTATGCATTTTACTGATGGGTGAACATAGACAACCGGTGTAAAGAAAAACGCCCAATGTTTCTACCCTAGTTGGGAATCGAACGCAGACCCTCGTCGTCTGAAGAGAGAGCTTCAGCCACCAGGCCACGGGGCACTGTGGGTATGGTGACTGGCATCCACGATATTAAACTAGAATTGGACACTATACATGCCAATCATTGAATGAACCTTTTCGTTGTTATAGTTACCAACATAAAAAAATCTGAAGCCAATCGGATGAAGCATTCTTAAGTTACAAACGAAAACCTTTGAGGAATAAAAGAAACCTATACCTGAGTAAATGTACCGGCTCTGGAAAAAGCCGTACGAAGGGAAAAAATTTTAAGGGATCAATCAACTCGATTTCTCCTTATTTCTCAATTTTCATTTTTGATGTATTATATTCTAATTGAAATTCTCTGCAATCCCATAAGACAAATATTTATTGTTATAGTTCCTTAAAAAAAAGTGGAGTTTTCGTCATGTCAAAATAAATTATTAAGTACATACTACAATAAATCGAAGACGATTGTAAACAATGACGGTGGTTTTGCGGGGACATGAGCTAGAGCACAACACAACCATGCTGATGTGGGAT